AAATGTTACCTCTTTAAGAAGTCATGCAAATGGTTAGTTCAAAAAAATAAATGTCACCACCACTGGTCAGGATCACACTGGACTCCTGAAAACTGTAAGGAGTAGACATTGCAAGCTCAACGGTGACCATGTAAGGTAACACTTTGCTCATTCGCTAGATTCAGCTGCTCAGATGTCAGGCTGTCCACAACAAAAGCACATAAGATTATCAGTTATAACAGGATATAAAGTACTGGGAAACATTAAGAATGAATAAATTTGGTTTGTTTGGGTTTTTTTTGTTTTTTTTTTTTTGTTTGTTTGTTTTTTTTTGGTTTTTCGAGACAGGGTTTCTCTGTAACTTTGGAGCCTGTCCTGGAACTCCCTTTGTAGACCAGGCTGGCCTCGAACTCACAGAGATCTGCCTGCCTCTGCCTTCCGAGTGCTGGGATTAAAGGTGTGCGCCACCACCGCCCAGCAATGAATAAATTTGGACTACACCAGATTTTTTTGAAAAATCAAGAGTAAAAGGCTGATGTTGCTCTCACCACAAGAATGTCCATTTGCAGTCTTCCTTCCCTATTTTATTGTAATTTTCTATTTGTAGAATCAACATCTGGGTTTGGCTTAGGTGAAAAAATAGTTTATGAAACAAATAAATGATCTCACACCTTTAAAAAAAATTCCAACATTGACTATATATAATATCTTCAAACAGACTACCTTTTCTAAAGCCTGAAAGCCACGCTTCTGATAAAATAGTCTCAGTGGTTGCCAGTCCTCTGGTTGTTCCAGCCAAATGTCCTGGCACTTGTTCCCTAGCCGTCCTTCTCAGGTCAGAGGTGGGGTGTTGAGGAACCTACAGATGGCAGGAGGGTGGACATGCCTTGCATGATGTGTGCCTGCTTCTGCAATGCTCCTGGTCCCTTTCCTCTTCAGCTTGACTGTAGCCTCCCCACACCCCAGGTCCTGCTGCCGCACTGGGTCCTCTAGTCCCCCATGCCTCCATCTCTTGGAGCTGTGGCTGGCTTTGGCCTGTCAGTGCGTTACAGCCCTTAGGCCTGTTGAACTTCCTCTCTAAGAGAGGTTGGGACTGAGCTAAGGTTCAGAGTAACACCCAAGAGAGGTGGTAGCCCTCACATACAAATATGGAGTCAAGGACAGGGTGCTGCTGGGAAGGAAACGGCTGTAGGTGCCTTGTGTGGGCAGTACTGACATCTGCTCCATGCTGAGACCACAGGGCATCTGCACAAACCAGGCCAGCAACAAGGGCCTCCCAACGGCCCCACCCAACAGCTCCTGTCAGCCTTGCTTATAGACTCTGCAGGCACAGTCGGAGAAAGGAGGGAAGCTGGATGGCGGCAGGAGCTTTCCCCACCCCTACAGGCCCAGAGGTTTACAAGTTTCTAAGCTTTTGATAATGTGAAGCTCCAGGTAGAGGATGCTGGTGAGCAGATTGCAGCTGTTATTTCTGCTGTATGTGTGTAATATTTAAGGTTGGGAAAATAATCTCAGAAGCAAAGATACTAACTCTTACTAGAAAAAAGACAAATAAAAAGCAAAACAGACAAAAAAAAGTTTCAGTGGTTAAAACATATGCACATAAGTGTAAGCTTGTTCTTTGATTCCTGGCTTCACTTGCCACCCTTTCCAGATTAGCTCGGGTAAATTAATTACACCCACTCTCTGCTGGGCTGTGTCCTTCCCTTATTACACTGCTTCCAACCCCTCTCTTCTCACGCTGACAGACCAAAGACCTAAAATAGATACTAATTATTTTCCACCGTTACCCCTCACTGTTCAAAGCCTTGCATGGCTGTTTTGACTGTGAGACCTCATTAACACCAAGCTCATTAAAACCATAGAGGATGAATGAATTCACAGGAACCAAACTTTGGTTGAGTTCAAGGTGGGTGGATCCAGCTGGACCTCTCGGTGGCTCCTAGGGACTGTGCTAAGGACATGGAAATTCTGGAAAGGAAAATTATAGGATCTCCTGAAAGAGTGAACTATTCTGCCTTTTGTTTGTTTTGGTTTTTTTTGTTTTTTGTTTTTGTTTTTGTTTTTTGTTAGTATGGCTTAAGGTAGGTCTGCCTTCACAGGAGTAGTCCCTTGACCAGATGATTGACTTAGATCCACTGGAGTGTTTGATCTCCATCCAGGACAGAGGCTCTAGTCTCTTGACCACAAGCAGGATTTCCTCAATGGATCTTGGTTGCAACTGTAACGACTGCTTCCCAACACAATGACTCAGTGCCTCGTTTGCTAGGCATTACAAGATTCTTTTAGAAATCGCCTCTAGCCAGGCGGTGGTGGCACACGTCTTTAATCCCAGCACTCGGGAGGCAGAGGCTGGCGGATCTCTGGGAGTTCAAGGCCAGCCTGGTCTACAAGAGCTAGTTCCGGGACAGGCACCAAAGCTACAGAGAAACCCTGTCTCGAAAAACCAAAAAAAACAAAACAAAACAAAACAAAAAAGAAATCGCTTCTGCTTCGTGTGGTCTGGGACAGACTGAGCCCATGCATTCTTCCTGTACCATCTTTCTTGCAGGACATTTTGAAGGGAGGGGGAGGGACTCATTAGCTTCCCAGCACAGTGGAAGCAGCATTGCTAGTGTCTGGAAGCCTAAAGTCTATGAAGCATTTCTTTGTTTGCTTGTTTTTCAAGACAGGGTTTCTCTGTGTAGCTCTGGCTAGTCCTGGAACTAGCTTTGTAGACCAGGCTTGCCTTGAACTCACAGAGATCTAGCTGCCTCTGCCTTCTAAGTGCTGGGATTAAAGGCCTATGCCATCACTACCAGGCAGAAGCGTTTCTTTTGTATAAGCATTAATTCAGTCGGGTGCCTCTTGGCTCGCTGGCATGTTTCAGAACCGTGCCCCACACCCCATCTCCTCCAAAACCATCACTGTCCTGCCCACAACACTGCGTCCTCTCCTTCCAGCTCCACCATGGGGAACCCCACCTGACCCACGCATCCTCTGTCTACTGGTGAAAGACAGAGTCTGAGATGTAATTCCTTTTAGGGATCCTTCTCCACCTTTCTTTCAAGGTCCTGCTAGGGCATCCTAAGTATCCCACACTTTCCTCTCCTCTCTGCTTGGGCTTCGTTCTCTGCTCCTGAGGCACATCCCCCCACAGCCTGCCACACCTTCCCTGGTTCCCACAGGCCTCTGGTCTTATGCCTGCCTTTGTTCTGCACACTCCACACATGACCAACTTCCCACTGGGGAAATAGGATCGACTACTTCAATAAGACTGAACTTTATTCCAACGAGCTCTGTGCTCAGGTCCTGAAGGGTGTGCAGAAGCCACTCCCACAATGGAAAACACTTATGCCTCGGATAGAAAATGTTCTGAGCTGTGCTGTGTCTGTTTCACAAGGAAAGATGAGCCTGTTTCCATGAGAAGCATCAGGAAGGCTGATTTAAACACAAAGAACTTGATGGAAGGCTAGTGGCCTCATCTTAACCAATTATGTCAGCAATGGTCCTATTTTCAAATAAGGAAATAGGCACATGCTGAAACACTGGGTTCATATTTATGAAAGATTCAATTAACCCATCACATTTGATGTCCCGCCATGCTGCCACATGGAGAAAGCTCTCCAGGTGTTTCTACAGACAGCATGATCACAGCTGCTAACAGACCTCAAGATGGCACTGTGGAGCAGCTGAAGACGGTCCTAAACCAGACACAATGAAGATCCTCTCTAGTATACATCAAATTGCATAAAAATTTAAATCATAATTCAACTTGAATTAGGTGGACTTACAATACCAAAGTTTCAAATTTTACTTGTTTGAGGCTTCTGGTTTATTGCAAGCTCCCAAAGTTAAGAGGACATGGTTCACATACCCACAGATATGCAGGGAAACTTACTTTCCATGCTTTTGCAAAGACCCTCCCTGATGCCCCAGCTTCACAATTACTGCAAGCGATTAATTCCTATTATTTCTCAGTGGTAAATAGGGGCCCCTCATTAGCGGAAAACAGCCATCTGCCAATGGTGGTGGCACATCTTCTAATACCAGCACTCCAGAGGCAAAGGCAGGGAAATGTCTGTTCAAGGTCAACCTAGAGTATAGAGCAAGTCCCAGGACAGCCAGGGATACACGGGGAAACCCTATGTGGAAAAACAAAAGAGAAAGAAAAAAGAGAAAGTAATAAACAAACAAAATAGCAGTGTGATCATAACTCTCCCCGACTCCAGATACCTTTAGCTCCCTGGCTGTCTCATACTATATGAGTGAACAACTATCTTAAACACTTATTCATGCTTCATATGCAGTTCAAGAGGGTCATTACGAGGGTCATTCCGTCGTGGTGTAAAGTCACAGCAGCAGGCGGGGAAGGCATGGTGGCAGGAGCAGGAGACTGGCTGGTCACCTCACACTCACACTCCATAAACAGAGTGTAAACAGAAAGGAACCAGACTATAAATGCACATTCACTGCGACCCTCAGTCACCCCCTTTCACCAGTAAGGCTCCCTTTCTTAAAGGTTTCGCGGCCTTCCCATTATAATTCAGCCAGCTGGGGACCAAGACTCAAAGAACCAAGCCTAGGGGGGACAATGCAGCCCTAAGGCACAATAAAGTATTGGAACTTGGGTAGTGTGAGTGAGGCCAGCCGAAAGCAATGGAAAAAAACAAAAGTGGCCTTTGATGCCTATGTCCCTGCCCCAGCTCGCTCGCTCCTCCAGCAGCCTCTCCTCTCCCCACTTGGTCCTTCTTCCTTTCTCTTCCCTCACTCTTCTCTCACATTCCATTTTGCTCTTTCAAACAGCAAAAGAAATTCCCTAAAGTTGAGTGGTAAGTAGCATGTTATAGGGAAATAATATGTGTGTAGATGATCAGTAAAAGCAGAACAGGCACAGATAGGTTGAAAGTATGCTTGATATGCAGAACAAGTTGCAATTAGTTCAATCCAGTTTTTTTTTAAAAAAAAAATGTAGGCGTCAAGCCCTTAGAAAATACAAAGTTTATTTATGCTATTTATTATCAAAACAAAATATTGCTGGTGTCTTGCTGACTGCAAGTTACTATGCTGAGAAAAAATAAATACAGCAGTGGCATATGGCTAATAGTCTCTACACTTTGACCAATTTGCCTCTGTGTATTATTCTCCATCTACTACACAATTAAGATTTTCTGGTGGGTGTAGAGAGGTGCCTTACCCTGTGGGTATAAAGATGAGAACTTGGGTTCATTTAGTTACTGTCCACTTATTATAATAACAGCATTAAATTCTTCCTATAACCTGGCCAGGCCAAAAAAATTACATCACCAAATTAACATCACACGAGTTACCATTTATGGAATGAGCTTTGTATCCAGTCAGAAAACAATTGGTTGCTCCACACCTTTCCTGCATCATTGCTCTGTGGGCACTGCTGCTTTTGTCTGAGGCACAGCAGCAGCTGCACCTGATACTAAAGCTGCCTCAGCTGACGACTGCACCTCTGCAGCCAACGCTGCTGCCTTGCAGCTGAGGTCCTGGACAGGAAGAGCCTTCATGCTCTCTTAGCTCTGTCTCTGTCCTTTATTTACCAGTAAGGATTCCAGAGCCAGGCGCTGGGTGGACACCTGCTAGCTCAGAGAGGCGGAGCTTCTTACACACCAAGGGGATGTTACAGGAGCTCAGATGACTCCACTGGGAAAAACAACAGTAACTATGCCACAGCCCAGATCTCAGATTCCGGGTGACCAATGGACAAAGCTAGGACACGGGAAAGGTTTCATGGAGCATTTATGGTTACAGAAGATGGAGACTTATTAATAAAGGCAAGCTTTAAACACATTGCTTGAACAAACTGTTGCGAGTTACAGCAAAAAGAACTCTGCTGTTCTCTGATGATATTCTTAGTACCTGAGCTGTTCTATGTTAGTGTTCATGCTGACATTGCAAAGTGATTAACTTGACATTCTCTACCATGGATTCATTAGGGTTGGATAAGATCTAAATTGTTAGCAAAGATTTTTACCATACTTCACACACACATGGACTTTGTAGTCAGAATGAATCATTTGATGTGATTTAAGGGCTGATGAAGTAAACATTTAAGGCATTTGTAGGATTTCTCTTCCGTATGAACTATATCATGTGTTGAGTAAGGCTATAAAGATTCGTGAAGTCTTTGCCACATTCCCCACACTTTTAGGGATTGTCTTCAGATTGAATTTGCTTTTTCCCCCCCTTTTTAAAAAAAGATTTATTTATTATTTATACAGTATTCTGTCTGTCTGTATGCTTGCAGGCCAGAAGATGGCACCAGATCTCACTAGAAATGGCTGTGAGCCACCATGTGGTTGCTGGGAATTCAACTCAGGACCTCTGGAAGAGCAGTCAGTGCCCTTAACCTCTGAGCCATCTCTCCAGCCCCCTTGAATTTTCTTTTTTCTTTTATGTTGTCTAAGGGATGAAGAACAGGAAAAACATCTGTCGCATGCTTCACACTTGTAGGGTTTCTCTCCAGTGTGAACTCTCTTGTGTTTTCTAAGGGATGACTGATAATGAAAGGCTTTGCCACAGTCCTTGCACTTGTAGGGTTTCTCTCCAGTATGAGTTGTTTGATGCTCCAGAAGACTCCTAGAATAGGAAAACTGTTTGCCACATTCTACACACTTATAGGGACTGTCTTCAGAATGGATTGTTTGATGCTCTCTAAGGGATAACGAGGAGTAAAAACATCTGCCACAGTCCCCACACCTGTAGGGATTGTCTTCACAGTGAATTGTTTGATGTCGCTGAAGAGATAAAGGTAAGTAAAAACATTTGCCACACTCTTCACACTTGTATGATTTCTCTCCAGTATGAATTGTCTGATGTTCTTTAAGTCTTTTAAAACTGGAAAGAGTTTTGCCACACTCGGCACACTTGTAGGGATAGTCTTCAGAATGGATTGGTTGATGTCGTCTAAGCGATGAAGATGAGCAAAAACATTTGCCACACTCCTTACACTTGTATGGTTTCTTTTCAGTGTGGACTCTCTGATGTTTCTGAAGGTGTGCAAAGGAGGAGAACCCTTTGCCACATTCTACACACTTGTAGGGATAGTCTTTGGAGTGAATTACTTGATGTTGTCTAAGGTAGGAAACTGAAGAAAAACATTTGCCACACTCTTCACACTTGTATGGTTTCTCACCAAAATGATATCTTTGATGTTTATTTAGGTTTGAAGGATCATAAAAAGCTCTGCCACATTCTTCACACTTGTAGGGTTTCTCTCCAGAATGAATTTTTTGATGTTGCTTTAGCATTGAAGAATAGTAAAATGATCTGCCACAATCTCCACACTTGTAGGTTTTTTCATCAGTATGATTTTTCTGGTGTATAAACAGTGATTGGCGAGTATTGAAGGCCTTGTGACATTCTTTACATGTGTAGGGTTTTTCTCCAGTGTGAAGTCTCTGGTGTATGGAAAGTGCTTTAGAAGAACCAAGGCCCTTACCACATTCTTCACACTTGAAGGGTTTCTCCTTTGTACGAATTCTTTGGTGTTGAATGTATAGTGAGTTACAATCAATGGCTTTGTTGTAAACATTATAATCACTGGATGTTTTTCCTGTTGAACAGAAGTTGATATATGAATAAAGGCCAGGAAATATTCTTACAATGCTCACTTACAATGCTTACTTTTTAAAAATAAAATATTTACTCATGCATACTGAAGCATCAGTAAGAAAACACAGTACGTTTCAAAACATATAGGCACTAAGAATAAATGATAAAATAATGTAGGGAGAAATAATTTCTACACCCCGCCCCCTAAAGGGGCTGTCTTAACCCTACAATTTCTACTTCAACTAGAATAAGGGCACAACCAAATAGAATACAGACATAATGGCATATAATTCAAAATTTAATAGCTAAGTAACATGTGAGGGCATTTTACTAACAGAAATAAACCCATTAAACAATAGAGATATTATAGGTCTAGACACCCATGAAAGTATAAAGTGACCAAGCCTGGAAAGAGAAGGTTAATTGTGATTGTGTGGATTTGAGCTATTGTCTAAATGTGAAATTTTTATCCTGCACATATAATTATATTATCAAAAATATGAAAGATAAGCTGCACAACAAGTAGATGTTCCCCAAAATATTAAATTTATAGGTCAAAAATTCAGGACAGTATTTTATGTTTTGTTTGGATAGCAAGAAAATATATATCTGAACCATATCACATCATGATAAGAAAAAAACCTTCAGGTTCGCCTATGCATTACACAAAGTATGCTGAGACAACATATTTGTCAGTGAATAAATGACAAGACTACTATTTCCTTTTTTGTTTTTGCTGTTCAAGACAAGGTAGAACTGTGTAGAACTTACTGTCCTGGAGCTCACTATTTAGAGCAGGCTGGTCACAAACTTAGAAATCCACCTACCTCTGCCTACCAAGGGCTGGGATTCGTGAAGTAGGCCCCTATACCCAGGCAATAAGATTATGTATTTCTAGGACTTATTAATTTATAAGACTAAGTATCTATTAAACACAAAATAGAGAGACAATGAACCAAGCATGAAAACAAGAAACCTATGTTTATCCATGAAGTAGAAATTCACAGAGTAGAGCTCATAGATATTTCTTTTTTATTTCTTTTTTATTTTTTTGTTGTTGTTGAAAAAAATTTCCGCCTCCTCCCTGCCTCCCATTTCCCTCCCCCTCCTCTCCCCTTCCCCCACTCCTTTCCCCCTCCCCCCACTCCTGTCCCCCTCTCCCCACTCCATTCCCCCTCCCTCTCAAGTCTGAAGAGCAGTCCGGATTCCCTGCCCTGTGAGCAGTCTCATAGATATTTCATGATCCTACACTGTCTGTATATACTTCATCAATGTGCTGTGCTGAGCCACCAAAATATATGGGGAATGTATAAGGAATGATTATAGGCTATATATACCTTTGAAATAATAATAGAGAATATAAAATTGCAAAGCAAACAAAAAATTTTGAAGCCACAAACCTTTGAAAGCTTAGTGGTGATCTACTAAACATATTCTTCTAGCTATGGATGGGTTTAATCTTTGAATACATATTCACAAAGGGCATGCATTTTACATCCTCATTACTGAGTGTGTGATGAAGAAAAACTCTGGAAGATGTCTTCATCGAGAACCAAGAGCTTTGATGGGGTCACTTTCCTCGATATGTAAGTGACACGAGAGAAAGTCATGTGTGAGCTTCCTTTCTTACTGCGGATTCAACCTAGGTGTTTAGAAATATGTGCAACATTTCCGATGCGTAGAACACAGGACAGAGGCTGTTGTTACTGAACTGCCCAAAACGACTCGAGTTTGTGTGAGTTTTACACAATCGCTCCTCTAACTACACAACCCTGCTGAGAAAATGTTCTCAGGCAGCCTCCCTGGCAGCTGTGGAAGACCCACTGTTTTACATCACAGAACAAATTGTTTGAATCAATGAAATTAAAAGTTTTGGATTTTAAGCCCCAGCCCGTGTCTGGTATGATGTAAATGTGCATTTGGCTTTATAAACCCAATTAAACTAGTGTTAAAGAGTGCTGGGATGACCAATGTATTGCCTTCCTGACACAAACCCAACCTTGTCCTTCTGGTCCTCCGATGGGGCAGGTGTGGGTATTTTTGGCTGGTCCAGATTCTGGTAAAAATCCCGACAGGGACTCCTTCTCTGGTCTCCTTCTAAGAGTAAAGATGTAGACGGAAAAGGTAATGGATGACATTTTCAGTCAAGTCCACATCTTACGTCATTTCTGTGGATGCTGAGGGTTAGCGTAGTCCCCTCCATCTATGCTGTCTCAGCTTCTGATCAGTGCCTCACTTTTGTTGCTTTCCCTGACCCTCCTAATGGAACAGAGAGTCAGCTGCTCTCTGAGCACACACTGGGTTCCGCTGTCCTCCTGCCTGTCCGCATGAGTGGTGGCAACAATCCATTCTGAGGTTGTATCTATGGGATTGGGAAACTCCACGTCTATATTCCCTTCAACCTTCATATCCCTGGCACTGAGCTCCCCATGATGATACTCTCTATGATGAAACAAGCTACTGAATGGAGAAGGTCTGCAGAACTGACCAAAATTTAAACATAAACACGATCCATGGAACTGAGGATGTCAGGCTCCTAATCCCTTTATAGCGTATGTTTAAATTTCATTTCAGTATGAAAGATTTTCAATTCATCAGTCATAATTTTAGAGTGTGAAATTATTAACAGACAAAAATCACTTTCATTTATTAAGTCCTAATCTGATGAGAGTCACTAATTTATTGTAAGCTGTTACAACGAAGGTAATTAAGACATAACAGTAGTGATGAGTCACCTATGAATGACGAAATAAACTTAGTGTGTCCAAAGTTGTGTTTATATTCATGCTAAATACAGATCTATACATTCGTGCTATATACAAATATAATTCATGGACAGACACAATACTAGAGGTAGAGAAAAATTTCTACCTTCCATTATCCAGTCCTCTGTACCTTAAAGCAGGAAACTGAATGAATTAAGTTCCACTTTCTTTTCTTTAGTATGGAATAATATTAAAATTAGAGATACTTAAAGTAAGTGGTTCTGGGGCCAGGAGTGGTGATACACACCTTTAATCCCAGCACTCTGCAGCAGAGGCAGAACAATCTTTTTGAGTTCACTGCCAACCTGGTCTACACAGTCAGCTCCAGGACTGCCAGGGCTACAGAGAAACTATCTTAAAAAACAAACAAACAAAAAAATAAGAACCACAAAAGAAACGAAAAACATAGAAAGCCGGTTATTGAAACTGAATGCTTGGGTTAAGGGTTAAATCTACACTACACTTGCATGGAAGGACACAACCAGGATCAAATGCATCACTTACCCTCAGATGGGACAGAGATCTATGAGACTAAATGGCATTCTAGTCTCAACGCAGGAGAAGGATGCATGGGGAATAGGACTCCTCAGTGCCTGCAGCTCCTGTCTCCCTGTGGCCTGTAAGCCAGACCAGAAAACCCTATTCCGTATCTGAGGGAAAGATGAATCACTCCTCACACCCACAGCACAGGAGGTAGATTCTCCCATGCTGAGGAGGGTCTCAGATTCTGCACCACATTCCAAATGTGTCAGGCAATGGAGACCTCATTGCAGTTTCTCTGTAGTCCATGTCTCGTGAACTGATGGCAAAAGATACCGAGGGGAACCTTACACCTATGCCTGCTACCCAGCTGTTACAGGAACTACATGCTAGCTCAACTGGCCTTGCCCTGTCCCCTGGTTTTGAATTTTCCTTCTCTTAACAAAGCTAATTTCAGAGCTGAGATGTAGTGCCTGATTGTGTAGGGAGTCCTCAGCAAAGCGGTAGACAATACACGACAAGGCTCTGCCACAGGACCAGTGAGCACAGCAGGCTGAACTCTGGGCACTCATGTGAACTAAGTTGCATGTGCCATGTGGCAGAGGGCATAAGAAGGACATGCATGGAGGGCCCCAGGAAGGGGAAATAGTTAAGATCTCCCATGTAAACTTGGAGGGGAGAAGGGAAGAAATGTGGGAATGGGAACATGAGAGATCAAGATGACTGAGTTGGGGGAGAGAAGGAGAGCAATGAAACAGGTGTCTTGATGGGGAGCCATTCTAGGATTACGGAGAAACCTGGTGCTAGGGAAATTCCTAAGGATCCACAAGGATGACCCCAGCTAAGATTCCGAGCAATAGTCGGGAGGGTGCCTGAACTAGCCTTCCCCTATAATCAGATTAGTGACTATCTTAATCATCGTAGAACCTACATCCAGTAACTGATGGAGGCAGATGCAGAGATCCACAGCCAAGCACTGAGCTGAGCTCCGGTAGTGCAGTTGGAGGGAGGAAGGATCATATGAACAAGGGAGGTCAAAATCATGATGGTGAATAACACAACAGAGACAGCTGACCCAAGCCAGTGGGAGTTCATAGACCCTAGAATGACAGCTGGGGAGCCTGCATGGGACCAAACTACACCCTTTGAATGCGGGTGACAGTTATGTAGCTAGGTCTGTTTGGGCAGCCCCAGCAGTGGGACCAGGACTTATTCCAGGTGCATGACCTGGTTTTTAAAAACCCATTCCCTGTGATGGGATACCTTGCTCAGCCTACGGGGTAGGGGGGATGGTCCTGCAAGGCCTTGTATCTCATTCTGTCCTACCCTTCTAGGTCTAATGGTCAGACCCTGCTGAACCAACTGGTGTTGAAAAAAATCCAACGGCCTCTGCTAAATTAATGTACCTAATGGCCCAATACAACCCCTTCTAAAATACACCAATGCTTTGACTCTTCCCTAAGATCAGCAGGGAAGGCACTGCCCAAAGTGACTCCGCTTTGTCTGAGTTTTATCCAACAGCTCCCACCCCCAAGTTGCTCTCATCAACAGAACTGACACTGTTCGGCCTCTGTCACTGCCTGTCCTTCTGGGGTGGAATTGTGGGTTTGGCTTTATAAACTCAATATTCTCACTTTGATGTACAGATCTTTCTGGCATGGTCTGTTCTTGATGTCTGTATATGACTCTCAATCTGACCAACACAGACTTCTCCTTCACTGAGTCTTACATGACAATAATTCACCAAAAAGAAAAACCTTGGAAGTCACCGTAAATAGAAGCACAGCTCGCTGTTGGAAAGATACACAGCTTAAGAGACTTAAAGCATCTAAGCCATGTGCTTTGACAACAAAGACCCGAAGGAGAGACCTGAAGAATGATTCCCAGAGTATCATGTTTCAAGGCACATGGGAAAGCCTGCCTTTCTATTGGATACTTGGATCTCAACTTTGCCCCCATCCCCTCATTCCTACACACCTGGGTGCACGGTGACTGCTGCTTGTCTCTTCCTATCTGCAGGATCTGGTCTTTGCTCCAGAAATGTCACCAGGTGTGGCTTAGAAACAGCAAGACCTGTTTGTAGAAAAAGAGAAGTTTTTTTATGTGTGCTTTTTTTTTTAACTTGGAATTGACATGTCACTTCCTGTACATGACTTGTAAGGACAGAGATGAGGTGACAAATGATTGCAGACAATCAGTTCCTTAAGTGTTTTCAGACAGATCACTACAACATGTGAAGGAGCCTACAGCACCCAGGGTCTGAGTTTCATTTAAAAAACATTAAATCTGAATCGTGAAACACTTTCATTACAAGTGTGCTCCATGTCTCAGGCCACTGAATTTCTGACAATCCCAATAGAGTGAAGGAAACACATATCCAACACAAAAGGTTAAACACAAAAAGAGAAAAAACAGTGAAGAGATTTTTTAAATAATTTATTTTTGTTTTTCATATGCATAGGTGTTTTGACTGCATGTATGTCTGTGTGAGGATGAAGATTAATATAATTGATCTTTATCAAGAAAAATCAGGTGTCAGGTATTAGGGTAAGAATCTGAATGATCAGAGAAGCAGCAGAGCAGCCAACTTCCTACCTCTCCCATTCCTCTGTCCAAATGGGATAAGTACCCATCTCAGCCCAACCTTACCACTTCCTCTAGTAACATTTCATTTGTATTTTAATAGATAAAGCTTGTCTGAAGACCAGAGTGCAAAACAGTCACATTAGTCAACCAAACAGGCTGGGCAGTGGTGACACACCTTTAATCCCAGCAGCCACTCAGTTAGCCATAGAGGCTAGGCAGTGGTGGTGCATGCCTTTAAACTCAACACTAAAGAGGAATGGTGTAGGAGGTCCTTCTGTCTATGTGTTGTTTTCATTGGTTAATAAAGAACTGCTTCGAGCCTGTTCAAGCCTATGGCAGGGAAGAAGAGAAGTAGGAGGCTGCATTCTGGGAGGAAGAAAGCAGAGACAGGGAGCCGCTAGAGACAGACATGCTGAATATTTCTTAGTAAGCCACTGCCATGTGGCAATACACAGATTAATATAAATGGGTTAAACTAAGATGTAAGAGTTAGCCAATAAGAAATTAGAGCTAATGGTCCAAGCAGTGTTTAAATTAATACAGTTTCTGTATGGTTATTTCAGGTGTAAGCTAGCCGGGCAGCCGGGATGAACAAGCGGGCCCTCCTCCTGTTACAGAGGAATACAAGGCAGAATGAGACAAAAACTTGATCACTTTCAGTCTGATGATTTCATACAGCCAAGAACTCTCTAGTGACCTGGCGGCTTTGCTTTTCAGATCTTCAGGTTGAAGCCTAATATCTGTCACTGGGTTTTTATTATGCATGCCAAAACTTTCTGTCCCTCTCTCTACAGTCCTCCAAACCTCTAGGGTCAGCAAGCTCCACCCTCTGACTCCAAACAAACTTTATTTGTCAGAACACAATCAAAATATTGCACAACATGAGGGTGTCAGATCTTGACATTACAGACAGTTGTGAGCAGCCATGTGGGTGCTGGGAATTGAACCCCAGTCCCCTAGAAGAGCAGTCAGTGCTCTTAACAACTGAGCCATCTCACCAGCCCCCAGATGATTTTTAATATAGCAATCTCCCTAATTTTTCTGAAAATGAAGGATATGAAAATCACTGTTGAAATGCTCCCATGAGATACCATACAGTGCGAGGAAGCTACATGTTGATGGTGAACTAAGAAGTCACTATAGAGGAGATGCTCACCCAGGAACTCAAGGTGGCTGTAATTCTCCAACATCACATCCCTGTACAGATTCCACTGAGCAGGCTCCAGGCATTTCCTCTCTTCTGGAGAAAACTCGATGGCCACATCTGAGAAGGACAGCATTTCCTGAAATAAAGATTAACAAATGATACCACACATTAATTTAATTAAAACCATCAATAATATAAACATCAAGATGCACTGGACTGGATAGTTCTGTCAACTAGACATTAGCTAGGGTCATCTGAGAAGAGAGAAACATAATAAAAGAAAATGCCTCCCAAAGACTGTCCTATAGGGAAGAATATGGCATTTGTTAATTCGTGACTCATATGACACATCACAGCCCTTTTATGGGTGGTCCCCAATAGGCAGGCAGTCCTGTCTGGTATAGGAAGGCTGGCTGGGCAAGTCAGTAAGCAGTGTTCTTAGTGACTTCTGTTCCAGTTCTTGCCTCAGGTTCCCGTCTTGACTTCCCTCAGTGATGGACTGTTACCTGGAGTTGGAGTCTAAAATAAACTCTTTCTTCTCCAAGCTGTCTCTCCACACGGGCTTTAGCACAATAGAAACCCTCAGACAGGCACCACGGATTTGTCCAGGATGAAAGAGAACTAGAAATGTTCTTACACAGGTAGTAATATCCTCAGACATGCCTGAAGTGGTCACATGATCCCACACTGACCCATCAAAAGGAAAGACAAGGTAAACAATTCTATAGGCCCAATTTGACACAATCCATTTAAGGCAGAAATGTAAAATGAATGCATCCACAGAACATGTATTTAGTGTCATGTGCTACTGCACACCACATACGTATGTATTCCTCACAGGAGAAAGTCACGGTGAGGGAGAAGGGATTTCTCAACAGTTCATGCGCACAATCATGACAGTGAAGTGGAATGAAAATACAGAGTCTGCTGCAGCAAGGCCCTGAAGTACAAGTAGCTATAAGAATCACTCCCCAAATTACCTACCACAGTTACCACACAGGGAAGTGTCTGCTGTACCAGCGCCAATCCTCTGTGAGACGCTGTGGGTGGGGAGCAGTACACCTGTGAATATCATTTAGGAGGGATTTTACCCAATAGTATTAATGGCAAAATTTTCAGGGGAATTTGATTCTGGCAAAATTCATTTCTATAGTGAAGAAATTAAAATAGTGTCTGTCCTAAGGGGGACACATTGCCACTCACTAGAGACTGTTATGCATTCTTGGTATAATTTGGAGTTGGATATCGTACTCCACATGAATGGCGCCTGGTTCCACAGACAACAAGGAACAACTAAATGGACAGAGTAGTTGTAATAAGAATTCTTGTGTCTCTTGTCAGTGTCCCACAGAGATATCTTTTCAGAGAGTTAAACAAACCAGAAGACTAGACATTTCAGCTGGTTGTCTTGACAGGGGCTAGATAGAATCTAGCAGAGGGTACTTGGTAGTGTACTATGTTTACACAGTCCTTCTCACTCTGTGGACACATCTGTATTTATTCTGTCAACATTTTTCTTGGTAAATATGAGGTGGTTTAAGAGTTGATTGCAGGGGGCTGGAGAGATGGCTCAGAGGTTAAGAACACTGCCTGCTCTTCCAGAGGTCCTGAGTTCAATTCCCAGCAACCACTTGGTGGCTCACAGCCATCTGTAATGAGATCTGGTGCCCCTTCTGGCCAGCAAACATACAGACAGACAGAACACTGTATATATAATAAATAAATAAATCTTAAAAAAAAAGAGTTGATTGCAGGAGGCCCGAAGGACTGAACCACCTGGGAGCAGCGATCAACCTCCCCTGCCCCAGTGGAAATTGACCCACTGGGGAGCGGAGCGACGAGCAATCGGGACCATGGCACCATGGCAAGCCTCCACCTCTAGGAGTAACCATGTGAGCCTTGGGCCTGCTTGCACCTGGAGGAGATAACCAGAGGCTCTACTCTGCCTGCACCTTAAGTGGTGTCCAACTGAGCCACAGCCACCAACTACACCAACTGGAGGAAGAGGAACTCCTCGAAGCACAGGCTCCACTTCTACCACCTGGAAGAACAGATGGGTAGACAACAAGGTAAGAATACACTCAACAACACAAAGAGCACAACGACACCACCAAAAACTAGTGGCTCAACAACAGCAGGAGCTGAACACCCCAACACAGATGAAGCAGAAGAAAACAACATTAAAATTAACTTTAAGGAAATGATTGAGGTATTTAAGGAGAAATGAAAAGTTCTCTTAAAGAAGGGGAGGAAAGGACAAACAAAAAGTTGGAAGAAATCCACAAATCCCTTAAAGAAAACCAAGAAAAAGCAATCAAGCAGGTGAAAGAAACGATTCAAGACTTGAAAACTGAAATAGAGACAATAAAGAAACCAAGGGAATTCTGGAAATGGAAAATTTGAGTAAATGATCAGAAATCACAAATGCAAGCATAAACAACAGACTATAAGAGATGAAAGAGAGAATTCCAGGTGTTGAAGATACTATAGAGGAAATAGATTCATCAGTCAAAGAAAATGTAAAAATCCAACAGAAGCTTAAGGCAAACTATCCAGGAAATATGGGATACCATGAAAAGACCAAATGTAAGAATAATAGGGATAGAAGAAAGAGAAGTCCAACTCAAAGGCACAGAAAATATATTCAATAAAATCACAGAAGAAAACTTTCCCAACCTAAGGAAAGACATGGCTATGAAAATACGAAAAGGTTACAGAACACCAAATAAACTGAACCAAAAAAAAAGTTTCCTCTCCACAAAATAATCAAAACACTAAAATACAGAATAAATAGAATGTTAAGAACTGCAAAGGGAAAAGGCCAAGTAACATATAAAGGCAGACCTATCAGAATTACACCTGACTTCTCAGTAGAAACAATGAAAGCCAGAAGGTTCTGGTCAGGTGTTAGGCAGACACTAAAAGTTCATGGATGCCAACCCAGACTACTGTACCCAGCAAAACTTTAAATTATCATAGGTGGAAAAAACAAGATATTCCATGACGAAACCAGATTTAAACAATACCTATCCACGAATCCAGCACTACAGAAAGTACTAGAAGGAAAACTCCAACCCAAGGAAGTCAGCTGTAGCCACAAAAACACAGACAATAGATGATCTCACAACAGCAAATCCCAAAGAAGGGAAACACACACACAATACCACCAACAATACAAAACAAAAATTGCAGGAACTAGCAATCACTGGTCATTAATATTGCTTAATATAAATAGATTCAATTTGCCAATAAAAAGACACAGGCTAACACATTATATACAAAAACAGAATCCATTCTTCTGCTGCATACAGGAAGCATACTTCAACCGCAATGACAGACATTGTCTCCAAGTAAAGGGTTAGGGGTAAGTTTCCAATCAAATGGACCTATGAAACAAGCTGTTGTAGCTAATATCTAATAAGATAGACTTCAAAATAAAATCAATCAAAAAAGACAAAGAAAGGATATTTCATATTCATCACAAAAAAAATTCTTCAAGAGGAAATCTCAATTCTGAACATCTCTGCCCCAAGGAACATCTCTGGAAGCATCATTATCCCTGACTTCAAGCTTTATTATAGAGCTACAGTAATGACAACAGTTTGGTATTGGCATAAAAACAGACAGGTTGACCAATGGAATTTAATCAAAGATCCTGATATTATCCCACACACCTTCAAACACCTGATTTTTGACAAAGAAACTAAAAATATAAACTGGAAAAAGAAAATCATCTTCAACAAATGGTGCTAGTATAACTGGAAGTAGACATGTAGAAGAATGCAAATATATCTATTTATTGCCATGCACAAAACTCAAGTCCAAATGGATCAAAGACTTCATGAACCCCATGAAGAGAAAGTGGGAGGTACACTTGAACACATTGACATAGGAGACCACTTCCTAAATATAACCCCAGTAGCACAGACACTGAGGGAAACAATTGATAAATAGAAACTGAGAAGCTTCTGTAAAGCAATGGACATGCTCAACAAGACAAAACAGCTGCCTACAGAATGGGAAAAGATCTTCACCAACCCCACATCTGACAGAGGGCTGATCTCCAAAATATATAAAGAATCCAAGAAATTAGACATCAAAATACCAAATAATTCAATTTAAAATGGGTACAGATCTAAACAGAGAATTCTCAACAGAAGAATCTCAAATGGCTGAAAGACACTTAAGGAAATGTTCAACATACTTAGTCATCAGGAAAATACAAATCAAAACAACCCTGAGATTCCATCTTACACCTGTCAGAATGGCCAAGATCAAAAACACCGATGACAGCTTATGTTGGAGAAGATGTGGAGTAAGGGGAACACTCCTCCAGTGCTGGTGAGAGTGCAAGCTGGTACAGCTGCTTTGGAAATCAGGACGGTGATTTCTCTGAAAATTAGGAACCAATCTACCCCAGGACCCGCAATACCACTTTTGAGCCTATACCCAAAAAGGTTAAATCACACCACAAAAACATTTGCTTAAACTATGTTCATAACAGCATTATTCATAATAACCAGAACCTGCAAACAACCTAAATGCCCCTCAACAAAGAATGGATAAAGAAAATGTGATACATTTACACAATGGAGTACTATTTGGCAGAAAAAGAAACCAATGACATCTTTAACTGCAGGCAAATGAATAGAACTAGAAAAAAAATCCTGAGTGAGGTAACCCAGACCCAGAAAGACAAACATAGTATGTAATCACTCATAATTGGATATCAGACATAAAGCAAGGATAACCAGCCTATAGTTCACAGAACTATTCAAACAAAGCAGAGAGAATTCTTCCTCACAGAGGAAAAGCAAATGACTGGCCAAATACCAAAAGCAAAGTCTTTAACAAGAACATGTTGGGGACAAAGTTTAAATTACATGTGGGATAAGTCAGCACAGTTTTAACATAGCTAAACTATGTTAAACACACATAGTTTGTAAATCAACAAAGTGTTGATTGCATCGATTTATCAAGGTGCTCACTGTAAGAAACGGGAAATGAACCATAGAAAGTATTTATCACATCATTAAAGTTGAAATGCTGTCAGACTCAGGTAGCCTAGGCTGGCCTGGAATTTGCTATGAAGCAGGGGAGGACCAGAGGGCCCTGCCTCCCCCTCACAAACGCAGAGATGACAGGGATGTGCCTCAGAGGAAACTGGCGTTTCTTTTCTATCACAGGTCTGGTTACTAAAATCCCAGGAATACACACAGGTCTGGGAGTTCTCCTCACCTGCTGACCTGACAGTGAAAGATCCCCAGAGCATGGAGACTCTGACTCAAGTCTTGGGATAACACGACCCCCCAGGAACTCACGAGAGACCGTCCTTGCTACAATCACACGAGGATTATAGACAGGGCAGGAACCAGTGCACTTATTTCCCACGTAGGGGTAAAGAGTTTGACCCCGAGTAGCTGGGAGAAGGAGTATTTAAGGGAAGAAACCATAACACAATAATCCAAAGGAGGTAGGGAGGGCGTCATTGGAAAATTCTGAAAATACCAGTGATAATCACAAGGGGGTACCTCCCTGTTTCTCAAGATTATAATCTAACTTTGTCTTCAGCTAGTTCCTGAAACAGAGTCACTGAACCGGCTAATCTAGATTTTTGATTCTTCCCTCCCTGCTTAGATTTTTGGCTCTATTTTTTTCTGCTAGAGGAGTATGGATTTATCCTGGTCTTTCAACACAAAAGTCTGGCGTGTAACACAAGGCCATGAGAGCTTTTCACCTGTTCCTAAGGACCCTGCTTCTGGACCAGCTCAACAAGCTCAAGGCCACATCAAGACGTTGACACAACCATTGTGGGCCAAGCAGCCATCCTGTCGTTTTCACAGTTAGTCCACCCTACATTAGGGATGAGGGACCTTTCAAGTCTTTAAGGAAACACAGTCCTCAAGGTGAGGCCTGGAGTCAGTTTCTCCAGTTCCTTCTTTCCTGTGTGTGGGCTGTATGTGTGTTCTCTCCACCCTCGTCACAGCTTTCTATAGCAGCTGATCCTGGCAGATCTGCTTGCTGTGTTCCAGAATTTCTCACATGCAACCCGTTGCACCTCAGACTTTCCCTCTCTTAATTCTTTGACTGGAGACAAAATGAACACAATCAAAACCTCAAGACCGTTACACTAGGCTGGCTACAGAGCACAGGAAGGACCAGAAACCCCAAGTTACTGAGAAATCTCACAGCATCCCTGTGACAATGGGTCAGAAGTGAAGGACAAAATCTCACAGCATCCCTGTGACAAAGGGTCGGAAGTGAAGGACACTTCCCCACCAAAGCTGCTCAGTGAAGTGAGCTCCCAGCTCCCCCTCAGGAGCAGGCAGTCAGCTGACCATCCTTAGCCTGCAACCCTGGACCCAGCACTGTCATCTACTCCGCTCTCCCAGGCTGCTCTCCTGTCCCAGAAGCCCAAGGCGGACTCGGGCTGCATGCGGCGTCCTAAGGAAACCATCACTCAGGACACAGTCCCTGTCGCCCTCACCCCAGCCCTGACCTGCAACCTCAGGCGTCTCAACCAGTTGAGCACAGCACCTCCAAGGCAGCTTCTCCCGCCCTCCCACCCAGCTCAGGTCCGCTCCCTCCAAGACGGACCCGCACCCCGCACAGTGCCTCAGGTTACGCTGCACCCTGAACCAACCTCCATGTCAGAGACGCAACAGGAAGGCACAGCAGGGGGACTCTCGCCCAACTTTGAGGAAGACACTCACGTGGAGACCAAAACCTTGAATGCGGATTTCCTGCTTGTCTCCCTGCGATGTCACATTCCCTGAGACTACATTTCCCAGAAGTCTGTGGGAAGGAAATCCCCGGACCCCATTGGGGATTTCTTCAGTTCCTGGATTTGTGCCTATTAGAGTCCTGGAGAAGTCCCTCAAAAGACCACCATCCACGTATGCAATCAGCAACAGGGTTGTTAATTTCCAACATACTGGTGAAAGACTCCCGGAGTAGGGAGACTCTCACTCAAGTCTCAGGATAACACGACCCCCCAAGAACTCACGAGTGACGGTCCTTGCTGCAATCACAGGAGGTTTACTGACAGGAACCAGTGCCCTGAGGCGGAGACTCATTTCCCACGCCGGGTAGAGAGGAGTTCCACCCCGAGTAGCTGGGAGAAGGGGTATTTAAGGGAAGAAACCATAACCCAAAGGGGGTAGGGAGGACGTCTTTGGAAAATTCCGAAAATACCAGTGATAATCACAAGAGGGTAACTCCCGGTTTCTCAAGATTGTTCTCAAGATTATAATCTAACTTTGTGGTCAGCCAGTTCTTGGAACAGAGTCACTGAACCGGCTAACCTAGATTCTTGGCTCTACTCTTCCTGCTAGAGATTTTTGATTCTACTCTTCCTGCTAGAGATTTTTGGCTCTACTCTTCCTACTAGGGATTTTTAGCTCTATCCTGGTCCTTCACTGGGACCATCCATTCCATGATGTCAACTCTGAGAGAAGCTGGCAGACCTCTTTTAAGCACAACTGAAGTTCCTAGGCAGCTAGGTCATTTTATCTACAGGTGTCTTTAAGCAAGTGGCAATCATATTAATACTTCCTAACTGGCCAGGACTAGTTAGGGACTGGTCAGAGCTACGGTTTTCCATTTGTGACCAGGCCTGGACAAGTCCCAGGCTTTGTCCTTATTTGGTTATCTCCTGACTGTGCCTCAGACCTGGCCTGACCTAGTACTGCATGTACCAGGTCCCCTTGTCCTTACTTTCACGGATGGTGGAGATTATTTGTCCTTTGTGACTTTCCTCAGAAACTGCTTGTTCAGTCTCAGGATACTGAAATTGAGGCCTGATCTCTGAGAGAAGACCGAGAACCCTGTTACAGCATCTGTTGGATCCTCTCATCCCCCACCCCTTTGAGTACTGGATCATCTCAAATCTGGAGATGCTTCTTTTTGGCTCATTGGCTCGTACTGTTGTTTAAACCCATTAGTTGGACTGTGAAGATCCACTCCTTAATAAATCTGATAAAAGCATTGATTATACATGGTTCATAGATGAGAGCCAACAGTAAGATGATTGAAGGTTCAGCTAAGGCTGACAAGAGAGTAGTGAACCAGGGTGACCACTTTTACAGAGATCCACGCCCTCCTTCATTTTGTTCTCTCTCCAGCTGTCTATCATATAGCTTCTTCCTAAGCAGTGACATTTAGTCCCTGATAACCCCAGAACGGTTCATACGAAAGCAGTATTGCTCTCCTAGGGCCTCCCTTCGGCCCCTCCTACTTTGGAGAACTATTTCCGTTAGAGAGGGGAGCGATTTCTCTAAATCGGCAACAGATTTTTCTGTAGGATTGCGACACTTGCATCTATGGCCTTTTCAAGGCCCTGTTGTTCTGATCTTGTTATACCAAGGCTGAAGCTCCGGTACCTATGGCCCCAGGGAAGCCGACCACTGGAGGGCAGACACAAGGACAGGTGTGATGACTTCTCATTTTTCAGGACTCCTGGTCATTTGGAGCAGGTTGCTGTCATCAGTTGATATTTGGATTTGTCTGTCAGCCAAGTGGAAACCTGTAGAGACACACTCAACTAGGAACAGAAGTAAAAACTTACGAACTTCCTTGGAATTTTTAGAGCCATAATTGAATCTAAATTGACTCATAGTTGGGTCAGTAATTGAAGAAGGGAAGGGGTTCCAAGACCAGGAGAGAGTGAGGTAACTTGGGAATAGGCGAGTAGGGAAACTTAGGCTGGATTTTTCTGGAATCCTTTGGATCTGTGAGAAGTGGATCCAAGTTTTATGACTATCTCCATTTTCTGAAGTTTCTATGAATTTCTATTTCGTTGAATGACATAGAAGTTTCAGATATATTAGCAATATCAATCTGGACTGAAATCCGTATTGAAGAAAAAGCAGGTAACAAGTGTCTGTAAACCAGCAGGAGTAGACTCACATCCCTGAGTCTTATCAAAAGCTATAGATGTGAGTTAAAAAGCATGTACACTGGACATTTTCTTCTATCCAGAGAACCGGGTATAAAGTGAACTGAAATGCCCAATGAAACGCATCTACAAGTCTATATTTAGAAGACAACCAAGTCAAGAAGAGTCTGTAATGAGGGGGAGAGAGTGGAAAGGATAATGGAAGGCGGATACTATGAAAGTAGAAGGGGAACTCTCATGGAGGAGGGATCCCACAGGGCACCCTGGCACTGGGGACAATGGAGAAGAGGGCAGATAATGGCAAAGCAGTATGAATGCGGCCAAATGAGGGACTGTGGCTGTGCTGGTCAAGGCATTGCATCACTGTGATCCGAGGGACCGGTACTAAATGTCAGATACGGTGATACACATTTGGAGTCCCAGAGCTCCTGCGGTGAGGTGTGAGGTGGAGATAAGAGAACTGTTGGAATCTCTCAGGCTCGCTAGCTGAGAGTGCACAGCTCACCTGCAGAGACAGAGAGACTCCGCTCCAGAGAGGTAGAGAGAGAAGCAACTTCCAAAACCCATCCTCTGATTTTCACACACACCATCACATAAGAACCCCCAGCACACAATTAAAAAAGAATATGCCATAATAAGGACCATTAATACCTGGAAATATTCAAAATTAATAAGAAAAATAAAGTGGCTATGCCCAGTTCACGAAGTCCCCCAAAAACCCACAACAAGACCAAGTCCTATGTGTAAAAGCAAAGAGACTTTATTCTTATTCAAGTTTGAACTTGGAACTCTCTGTGAGTCCAACACATTGTCATGATCAGAGCCCTGAGCTCAGTTGGAGTGTTTTTTTTTCTTTTGGTTGTTGTTGTTTTTGTTTTTGTTTTATTATAACAGAGGTTGAGGTGAGGGATTTCTAAGAGTTAGAACCCCTGATTAGCTGACATATGTCTAGGGATATCCTGGTGAAAGGGGATGGGTGTGTTGGGCTGAGGGATATCAGGTGATCCTATCTACAATGGTTGGAACATTAGGAATTTCCTTTGGATGGTCTGTTCCAGTTGGAGCCTGAGTGGTTTCAGTTCGTGGTCTTTCTTGGAACCAGGTATTGCCTTAGGGTAAACTGAGACTCAGGCCTACATTTTAGTTGGTCTCTATAGAGTTCTACTAAAGTGTACGCAAAAAATAGATTAAAAAATGGAAAATTGACCGATGAACTACTTCTAGTCAGCGACTGCAAAATTTGAAATGAGCATCAACCTCGTTTAGGGACATTTTTGTATGAGCACATCTTACATTTCTGTAAGAGTGATTCCTATAGCCTGAATCCACCAAGGCCTGATTTCCCAGGTGAGGGTGGTGCAGGGCCTTCATGGTAAGGAGAACCCGTGTGAGAAACATATACTGAAGAACACGTGTAGTGAAAATAGATAGTCCGTTTCTACTTGCAGAAATTGATGAAGTCGTCTGAAACTTGGCCTACTTAATAACATATACTTTTAAATGTATTTATTTATTCACTATTTTCACAGTTTTAGGAATGAAACCTGCCAAAGATAGCAGAGGTCCGCTTACAAAATGAGACCGAGTCTGCAACGTGAATTTCCAGCCAGGGACACTGAAGACCCCAAGAGCACACAGGAATCTTCACTGCTGAGCTTTTAATAGAGGCAATTGCATGGGAAGATACTATATAATCATTAAGCCATGTTTACAAGGCAAGAGAGTGTTTTAGTTAATAGATCACTGGGGAGAACAAAGACAAGAAAGCACGGGTAGAAAATACATGGGAACATGACAAGCCCATACTGTTGCCCATCTATTTTCATGCATGAACCTGGGAGAGTGGGGCCTAAAAGTGAGGCAGAATAAAGTCTAACGCAATAGCCAACTTTATTCAGCGCGTCAGGCAATTTTTTATATTCTGAGGGTTAAGCAAGGTCCTGAGAGCAAAGTTCACTGGAGTTTGCAGTGTGGACAGTCACAAGGGCAAGGTCACATGTGTTTAGGCCTGCAGTCTGGAGGACAAGGTCACCTTAGCCTGTGCTGTCCACAGTCACAGGACAACTCTCACTTGGAAACATCATTCTGAATATTGATGGGTGGGATGATGGACAACCTAAAGTAAAACCCACTCCTATTTACAGCTGGGAGGGGCACGAAAGCGCACTCCAAGAACAACCCATGTTACAGAGGAGCAGAAGTTACCAGACGCTTGTCTTGTTTCCCTGAAGTTTTCTCACAAGCTCTCAGAAATCTCCTCACACAGCTTTGTTCATGGACTGTCTTCTGACACCGTACATCATAAGAAACAGCTTTTTCTTGTACGGGTCATTTCCTTCTGCGCTTAGTTTGGAAAGGGTCAGGATCTCTTTGATACAAGCATGCTGCTTTCACAGACAAGACTGTTGGTAACAGAGGCCCAGGGCTTTCAGTGTGGTGGACTGAAGCTCTCTACTGCCTAGCTGCATATGTGTATTTTTATATTAAAGAAAATCTAATTTTTCTCCAGTGCTGTATATGCCTGAAACTTACAATTCTCTTTAGTTGTGTCCTTTTCAACAAAAAGATTTGTGTTTATTATTTTTAAATTATGTGTATGTCTGTGTTTGAGTGTGGACATGCGATGTGAGTGTGGGTGCCTATGGAGGCCAGAGGGACAGGACATGCCTGACGGTGAGAGTCGTAGTCTTCTGCTATGGCTGCTGAACCACTCTCCAGCCCCACGTTCTCCTTTGTGGATGTTGCTTGTTTTTATAAAATAAAGATGTAGTCACTGAGTTAGCCCCCTGGAACTCAAGTCCAGTCTTGCACTTCTCCCACTTACACTCTTTTTAAATAAAAGACGTATTTATTGATTTATTATTATGTATA